CACCGTGTTATCTGTCGTAAAATCATGGCCAGGCCTGTTTTGCGGGCCGTTTGTAGCAGGCAGGAATCCAATATGACCGTCGATCGCCGAGGATTTCTATCGAGTTATTCGCTCTGAAGCGAAGACTTCTACGGTTAATCACGGCGTTTGTTTAGGGTTTCATCACCCACCCACCCCGGCCCGGCAGGTAAGTACATTGGGAAGCCAGGGGCACCAAAAAGTTGGAGCCGATCCGTTACATGAGGGCCGTCCCGGATAAAGTTAAATCTGGTCAATGGAGTGCCCACGACTCATGCCAAAGAATTACCGAGTCACCACGGCTATCTGGCACCCAGGCTTGTCTGTTGAGCACGAAATCGACCTAGAGCACATTCTTCAGTTAGTATTTATGCTAAAGAAACTTACTTGACAGACAGTACTTTCCCTGGCATTGCCGCTCCACTAGGTACCGGGGATGGTAGTCCGCCGGCAGGGTACGTAAGAACGAACACTCCCGGCACAGCGGGATGCCCTCGGAGTCGTCCTCACAGGACAGAGGGGTGAGATGACCGAGTTCTGAGGCGGCATCAGACAAAACAATGTTGTCCTTGGAGTCGGCGCACTGGATAATACGGTTGGCAAACGCTGAGGCCAAATATTAGATTAATTTTTACATTCCAACATCTAATCACAAGACGTGGCGACGGCACACTCAAGTATTTTTGTTCAGCTTATATTAATGCCGCCACCATCAAAGGGGACAATACAATACTCATTTTCACCTGAGCGAAGTGACGAAAGTCGTGTAAAGTGCGCCTTTCCCAAGGGCACAAGATCGGTGACATGTCAAGACTCGAACCCGGGACCTCGTTCACTCCAAACTAAAGCTGGATTATGTCTTTACAATTAGTGAACGCTAAGATTTGTATATGGCAATATAGATTTACAGTTTAATATTGATATTTGTGCCTTAGCCATATAAGCCATATTAGTCCATGGGCCAGACAAGATTATGTTACCAAATCAAGGGACAAAACGCGAATGCCTTCATGTGATAGTCCTTCCCACAAGCTTTTTGAAAATGTATGATAACCATGTTGAGTGCCCAGCTTTGACCTTGTTATCTGACCTTGAACTTTGATCCCATGGGGACCATTTCCTTTCCTACTTATAATGCAAAGGGGAGTGTCAAATAATCAAATATGGATATTTTCCAACGTTACTTGGTGGCCAGATAAAACAGGAACAAGCAGTGCGTGACGAGCTAAAGATTGTAAATTATGACTCAAAATCAACTAACGCGTTGTATCCATAATATATTATGCATGTATCACATTCTTGGAAGCAGGTACATTTTGTAACTGGTTAATGTCGATCTGAATAAATCTTATAGTCTCAAGGTTCGCCTCTTTAACTTAAGATGACAGCCATAAGACCACTAGGTTTGAACCAGGAGACTATAAGGTTTCCTCAAGGCCGTGGACTCTACGTGCCTATTGGCACAGATCTAGAAGTGAACTCAGGCTGTGAAAAAAGACGGTCCCGCCCTCTAGCCTAGCCAAGGCAAGACCCAATACTCCAACTACACAACTACAGCAACTACGCGTAGTTAGAAAGCCTTTTATATGATAATATACAATTCCTCAAGGCGGTGGGCTCTAGGTGCCTATCGGCACAGAAGCAATCTCAGACCGTAAAAAAGACGATATCACCAGCTAGCCTCGCCAACACAAGGCGTGATACGCCAACTACACAACTACAGCAACTACGCGTAGTAAGAAAGTAATATTACCTTTCCTCAAGGCTGTTGACTCTGAGTGCCTATTGACAGGAAAGCGGTCAAACCGTGAAAATAGACGGTCCCACCCGCTAACTTCGCCAACTACAGAACTACAGCAACTACGAGTAGTTAGGACTCTAGGTGCCTATCGGCACAAAGGTTAACTCAGGCAGTGAAAAGAGACGGTCCCGCCCGCTAGCCTTGTTAAGTTAAGGCGTAATACGCCAACTACATAATTATTAACTACAGCAACTACGCGTAGTTAGACTGTCTTCCTTATAATATACCTTTCCTCAAGCGGTGGACTCAGACCGTCTAAAAAGACAATATCACCCGCTAGCCTCGCCAAATCAACGCGTTTTACTTATGGTATGCACTGCATTTTACTGGGAAAGCAGCCCAGTGCCTCCTTAGCAACGGCCCTAGCAACGGCTTCCCCACAGAAGGCCTGTGGGAATAGAACTTTTAGATACTCATATCTCCAGATTGGATTGATGGATTTTTACGATTTAAAGCTTAAAATGTAGGGAAAAGTGTAACAAATCAGATGAATTCATGAACCAGGTTCGAAAATGCAATCTGTGTATTTGACAGGTTTTGAAAAGTAAACATTCCGTTTTTTTACCATTTTTTACCGAAAAATCGAATTTCAAAAGCTCATAACTTCTCTTAGAAATGACATATCGGAACAAAATTGACATTTTTGTAATCCTTTGTTCCTGTTTTATCTGGCCACCAAGTAACGTTGGAAAATATCCATATTTGATTATTTGACACTCCCCTTTGCATTAAAAGTAGAAAAGGACATGGTCCGTGTAGGGTCAAAGTTCAAGGTCAGATAACAAGGCCAAAGCTGCCACGCTGCAACGGTTATCATGCATAATGATTAGCTAGAGGACCCAACCTTTTAAAAAAACTAAGTCATCATTTGTCCCTCTGTTTGGTAACAAATTGTCATTTTGGGGACCTGGCCCATGGACTATATAAGGTTTTCAAACATTGTATGGAAATCTCTAATTTAAACGTAATTATATTTTATAAATCGTATGTGCATAGATATGCTGAGTACGTATGATAATGTAATGTAATGTATCTATGTATATGTACATGTACATGTATGATTATGTGATTGTATGTAAACAAGCCTGACAATTCGGCTCTAGGATCGCAATTTCAACTAGGATGTCGTTTCTGAGAAATAAATAAACAATTCTTCTACTACTACCTCTACGCTCGCTTCTATATCTGTAGAACATGCTCTTGAATGAAAAACAAAAACAAAACAAAAAACATTTAAAATAAATTGCACGGTGTGTAGAATACAAGAATACATGTATAAGCATAGGTGCTTTCCTCTCTGCGTTTTCTTCTCGCTGCATACGTGCATACGGTATGACTCCTCCAGACTTACCCTCTCTGCGAGATTGTTCATTCACCGCGAGATCCTGCGAGACAAACGAGAAAACATTGACATCAAACTAACATATGAGACAAAGCCTCTGATTGGTCATCTCATCAATCCTAAGTAATTAGCCAGTACCATTACGCAATGCTTTAATTGATCTTATTCAACACAGCTTACGTTCATTAAATTCATATCATTCATTATTATTCATCCACTGATGTGCATCGCTAGAAAAAAGGGCGATTTGCCGTTTATTCAGATGCAAAATAATTCAATATGACAAGTTTCTAAACTAAAAATTATTAAGTTATTAAATACCATTTATACTTCTACAGCCGTAAGAATGATCACATACCACAGAATCGTCGGCTTCCCAGAGTTCTTCGATGGTTTTCGGGTCCTGTTTGGGGGCCAACCTGGCATCTTCCACCTTCGTGGCCCCTAACAAAAGTGCGACTCCAAACAACACCTACAGCAAAACATCGGTGATTTCAGACTTCTGAGAAGTGTTTTAGCTATCCATTAGTGTACAGCACTACACTGGACACCTGAAGAGAAAGGAAAGCAAGGACGGCAAACCATTGACCAACAAAAACAAGGTCAACATTACTATTCCGTATGTACAAGGAGTATCTGAGAAATCCCGACGTATCTTCCCCAATATCATAATACTAAAATCAATAGTCGTTTATAATAGTGTGCTTACAAACCTAGCTTTCTCCTCTGGTCTCTCAGTCACTGACGAAAGGTAGTGATGCTAACTGAAACGTCTGACCGTTTCCAAAATCATATCCAGTTGCCCGAGTAACTGCTTTTTGGCGTATTTAGAGGCAATTGTTGCTACAAAAGATTTTATACTTTGTGAGTTGGATCTAATCCTTCCCTTCAATCCCCTTAACAAAATTACACCAACTTTCTGATAAACAGTAAAAAATTTAATTTAAGAAAACATATAAATAAAATCTTACCAAAGGAGCCATGGCTCGCTAAATTGCCACGTAAAATTGTCGAGAAGGCAGAAAACCGTGTCAGCTACCTCGAAGATTACCCGTAAGAATTTTGTAGTACAACTCCATTCTCGAAGACGTTTTATATGCAAATGTTTTAGAGGAGTTCACACCTGCACTCAGCCTGTTTTCTGACATTTGCGATGACGCGTCCATGTGCGCAACCTTGCGACTGCATTACGAACTACACCATGAAAGACGATCTGAAAAGTGTCTACCAAGCCTGGCTACCAGACCTATTTTTCGAAAGGATAAAGAGTCGAGACCTTAAATAGGTCTGGTAACCAAGCTAATTTCTACTAGCTACCATATTTTTATCCTTCATTTGTTTCTTTGTTTGTCTGCTTTTGTTTCCAGTCCTGTTGGTGTTACTTGCGGATAAAACAGGGAAGTATTGTTTTGAGCAGCTGGTCGTCTGTATGTTTCGTGTCCGAACGAGTAGGTAACCGGTAACATGAGGAGACTGTGGTGCAATACTACCGACGGTTACTAGAAATAACCATGTCGTTCGGAATTCAACAAGCATTTCCTTTGTCCATGCTACTTATTTAAAATCTACTTTCTTTTCCAAGTACACGTCATCCAGAAGTGCTACATGTAAAATATGACACAAAGTCGTCTTTGAAGGGCAGCAAACGTCAGTTTATTTTTACCTAAGGTAATTGTAGGATATCATGATACGAATTCCACAGTAAACCTCAACAATCAAAGAAATACTTCCATATATTCACCATGATATAGGTCAGAAAACTTATATCTAATCACCACCACTGACTGTAAACAGACAGGCGAAAAACACCATAAACAGCTGTTTGTTTCACAATATCTTTACATGTCTGCAAGATGTATGTGACAATACACATGGGACCGCACGCAGTGTGGAAGGGACACCTAGCTGAAGTGCGTAGTATAACAGATCGGTAGTTACCCCGAGGTAGTTTACAGGAGGTCGCCAAAATGTCGACTTGTAAAACTCTTTTGTTTGCAAATAAAGAACATTGTTACACAAACAATTACTGTTTATTCTAATTATACTGATTAAAAAAGTAATTTACTTTAGAGATGGACAATATGCAGATCTTCAATAACCTGTGCTATCGGTTACGTTGCTAGCTTTGATTCCGATTTGCTGCCCTGACACTATGACGAGGGTTACTGCGCCTAGCGAATGAAGTAGTCTTTCAAGATTGAGTTTTCGTTGAGAAGGCACCTGCAGCCTGCAGCGATCCGCACTAAGATGGTTTCACCCTTCCTGTCCGGGGCAATGTTGCGAACCTCGACAGACATATACTGCTGCAGACACTTCCCTTCATCTGGAATGACAAAAGCAAGAAAAATAATAATAAAAAGTACATCTTATTTGGTAAATGACAAAATGAGAAATAAATTGCTTTTCACCTCAAAAGAATTTTCGAGCGAATCTTTAGTGATGTAGACACGTGCGTGAATTTTTACTGGGTCAAAGTTCGTCGGAAGTCGAATCAGGGCTAGGCAATCTTCTCTCAACCGGGACGGGGGACGGTACCGACTTCAGACGAACTTTGACCCAGTGCGTACATGTACGTCACACATCACGTGTCTACAACACTCAGAAAGCTGAAGAAGACCAAGACATTTGGTCGAGAATTCCAAATTCTTGTGATTTGAAGAACAGTTTATTCATTTCTCATTATAAAAAAGAAAACATTTTGTTTTCTGGAATTTGTTGCTCATCAGATTTTACAGGTTCTATGTGACATCTGGCATCTGTCATAAAATAGCAATGGCATGATCTGTAAGGTCAATGTTGTGGGCGTACTTATGTCAAACTTATATTTGATTTTCAGTTACATTATCAGTATGTTCATGCATGATATGTAGATTTAAGGGTTTTGATGTTCACTAACAAGTATCTATACTCAAACAATTTCTGGAAAAATGAAACACACATTGTTATCAATGATTATAACTGTTGCTACACACACATATTTATTTCCTGGCTAGAATGTAAAGGAAAGATGATTGGATCCTAATTTTTTTTTCTGAACTTGTGTCAAACTTATGTATTATATGTATATTACTTAAGGGCTTTGAAGAATAAAATGGTTTAAAAAAAAAGGTCAATGTTGTGCAGAAAGTATGGTCTCTACAAGATCCCCGACAAGGCCACACTGACTTCATTTTATGGATGACATCCTTGCGCTTATACATTTTCACTTGTTCTAAAAAATCGCCTCCTCTGAGTCTCGAGCTCCACGGAACTCCGGAACTCATCGAATTAATCACTGTGACCTACAGAAACTTACGCATTAGACAGTCCTGGCCCTGGCATTTCCGCTCCAGTAGGTACCGCGGAGAGTAGTCTGCCGGCAGCTCACGTAAGAACGAACACTCCCGGCACAGCGGGATGCCCTTGGAGTCGTCCTCACAGGACTCAGCGGAGAGACGACCGAATTCTGAGGGGAAATATCAGACAAGAAATGTTCAATTTTGGACCTAGAACAGCCCAAACTGAAGCTGAATCCTGTTTTTGTAATTAGTGAACACAAAGATTTGTATATGGCAAAATAATTTGACATTTCCGATGCTTCATAAAATTTGCAAAACATTGTATGGAAATTTCTAGGTTTCACGTAATGATATTTTATACATCATTTGCATAGAAATGCGTGTGATAATGCACTGTCTATATCTATCAATCTATATCTATCAATTTATTTATCTATCTATCTATCTATCTATCTATCTATCTATCTATCTATCTATCTATCTATCTATCTATCTATCTATCTATCTATCTATCTATCTATCTATCGGGGCCGTCATAGATATGGGGACCTTACACCCTTGATTTCAAAGCTTGAATATAATGCAAGATGTACAACCTGATACTCTATGAAAAAAAATTCTTATCTATGTGATGTGTATGTGTATGCGTTGTAAGTAAACATACAAGCCTTATAATTTTGGCCCTATGGTCGCAATTTTAGCCAGGATGTCGTTTATGACAAAAGAATAAACAATTCAACTACCTCTACGCTCACCGTTAAACTCTGCTGACCTATATTCTGTAGACCAATCTCTTGAATAGAACAAAAAAACTTTAACGGTATGTAGAATACAAGAATATACGCATATGTGGTTTCCTCTCTGCGTTTTCTTGTCGCTGCATACGTGCATACGGTATGACTTCTCCAGACTTACCCTCTCTGCGAGACTGTTCATTCACCGCGAGATCCTGCGAGATAAACGAGAAAACATTAACATCCAACACACAAATGAGACAAGGCTTCTGATTGGTCATCTCTTTTAATTCTTAGCAATTATGACACCCTTACGGAACGCTTTAATCAACCATATACAACAGTTTACGTTTATTAAAGAAAAATCGCTTTAATCAACCATAAATCGCTTTAATCAACAATATACAACACAGTTTACGAAAAATCCTACATTGTACATGTTTCATTTCTTGTGCAATAATCTTTAACTCACCTCTGCTGTTCGAACCCACAGAAATACGTATAATTATGATCCACCCACTGATGTTTATGATTAGAAAAAAACGGGTTCTTCTTTTGTCCAACATTTTGGCGTGGTCATTATATGCAAAGAGCTAACCTGTCCGACTGACAACAGTAAGCAGACTCTACTTTCGACCTAATTTTTTTCTCATGTATCTATCCGCCCTGGGCAGCTGCAGGCCAGACCTCATCACCCAGGTCTCTAATTATGCCCACTAAACTGGTGAAATGAGCAAATTTTGATCAAACTAGGAACATTTAGACCCTATGTAAAAAGTACGAGCACATGCGTCTTGACACATGGTGGTAAGACACATGGAGCACAGGTGTACCTCTGACCTCTCCACAACTTGTATATTTGCTGTTGTTAGAAGTATAAGTAAATTTAATAAGTAGTTACTGTTACTTAGTAATTTTTATTGTTCTTGTTAAGCAATTGTTATGTATAATGTTGTTGAATCTTTTGTAACTATTAAGTTGATAATTGTATGTATTCTATTATGTGAAAGGACTCCAGGAAGATTAGTATACACAGCTTGTATAACTAATGGAGATTCCCAATAAACAAACAAACAAACAAACCTGTTCCGTCTAGCCCAAAAGTCCCCAAATTGGGCCAGAGAAAAAGGATTTTCAAAGATATTAACTACGCACTACAATTGTTCCCATTTTGGGGCCTCTACTGTCTAAAGTAATTTTGACGTCTGCCCTTAAGCCTAGCGCCTAAAGGCGGTTTACTGTCTATTCAGATGCAAATAAAACTCAATATGACAAGTTTCCAAACTAAAACTATATGTTCCCCACATAACCTATGAGTGATGACTGCAGAGAAGTAACTTCAGTTATAGAATACTATTCACTTCAACATCTACCTCTAGAGCCGTAAGAATGATCACATACCATAGAATTTTCGGCTTCCCAGAGTTCTTCGATGGTTTTCGGGTCCTGTTTGGAGGCCAGCCTGGCGCCATCTACCCCCATCGTGGCCCCCAACAAAAGAACGACTCCAAACAACACCTGTAGAAGACAACAACAAAACATCGTTGATTTCAGACTTCTGAGAAATGTTTAGGCATCCCTTATTGCANATAACCTATGAGTGATGACTGCAGAGAAGTAACTTCAGTTATAGAATACTATTCACTTCAACATCTACCTCTAGAGCCGTAAGAATGATCACATACCATAGAATTTTCGGCTTCCCAGAGTTCTTCGATGGTTTTCGGGTCCTGTTTGGAGGCCAGCCTGGCGCCATCTACCCCCATCGTGGCCCCCAACAAAAGAACGACTCCAAACAACACCTGTAGAAGACAACAACAAAACATCGTTGATTTCAGACTTCTGAGAAATGTTTAGGCATCCCTTATTGCATTGGAAATGTCGATTGTATGAATTGAATTACATTATAGAATGGATTGCAACGACTGTATTATGTATTGCACCGTATCTTTTAAACCTCCTTGGTTTATGCTTCATTCTAGAATACCACGATTACGCCAAATGCATTCCTGACGCCCCACCAAGGACAATATTATCGGGTCACAACCCTGTCTATCAACAGAAGCCCAATCTCCGCCCTCTCACTTCAAATCCTTGCTGCTGAGGACAAAAATACATGTCCCTATCCCCACAGCTATCAATGTGTTACACTCACTGTTAATCTGTTTTGAACATGGCACATATTACGTCGACATTATAACATATCATAGCAGTGAAAAAAACGAAAAATCATTCTATTTCCCCAAAACTAAATTCAAGGTTTAACACATTAACAAGGCATAACACACTTAAAAGGCATACTAGTAACACATTGACAACGCATAACACGGAATTCCTTCAACAATATAATGCAGATTCTCTATTAATAGCGGTAAAATATTGAGAAAACCTATCAGAAGACATATGAATAAAACCTTACCAAAAGAGCCATCGCTCGTTAAGTTGCCACGTAGACTTCTCGGGAACACAAAAAAGCCGTGTCAGCTACCTTGAAGACTACCTGTAAGAATGTGGTTGAACAACTCTGTTCTAACAGACGGTTTTATGTGCACGTGTTTAGGGAAGTTTTTTATACTTGGACGTTTTCTAACATTTACCATATAAGGTCTATTGCTTAACTGTTGAATTGGTAATGATAAATGCAAGGAATGGAAAATAAAATATAGAAATCATACATATCTTACGGCTTTTCGTCGTCTACATACTGTGTCAACACACTGAACACAGAAACAAACCCTCCCCAAGTAAAATGGTTCATTCCAATTCAATGGAATGGTTAGAGAGACGACATGTTGTTGTCGGGAAGACAAATACCTCGAGGGGTTGTCTGGCGGGCAGACAGTACAATTACCTTTGGTCATAGGAACCTTTGCTCAAATACACTTAAACAAGACCCCATGAAAATAATTTTTCACATTTTAATCTCAAAAATTCTTCTCCACCAGAGAGCCACAAATATATAAAGAAATCCCGGGGTTGATCAGCTCAAACTCTTACAACAGTTGACAACAGTGAGCAAACCCTACATTCGACCTAATTTTCTCATGTATCTATCCGCCCTGGGATACGTCTGGCCTGGTTCTGGGGGACACCGGGCAAGACAGCGGTCCAATTTCGAACCCAATCTCCTGTCGGGTATAGTTTACGGGCTGTTCTCAACTTTGAGGGGCCCTGTAGGCTAGTAGCTGCCGGCTAGTTTTTGGGCTCGGGCAGACAGTTCTAAGATTGAGTTATGTTAAAGCGTTAGATTTTCTTGTCGAAATTGGTCATTCCCTTCCTGATTTTCCTTTAGGCCATGTTGATTTGATTATATGGATGACATCCTCCGGGAACCCCAAAACTGATGCGCGCGTGCGAATAAAAAAAAGGTTTGCAAAAAAAAGGTGTTTTCATTATGAAATGTACGTGGTCATGAAGGTTGAACAAATGGCACAGAATATGGTTTGGCGAATAATCTACTCTTCGAATTCATTTCTTTACAATTTTGTGTTTTTCGTTTGATTTTGGCATTCTACGACATTGGTATGGTTTTTTTTGTAACTTACGGTATAATTTTGCTCATTTTGCAACTGTTTTGTACGATTTACAGTATGGTTGAAAACTTTTTTTTTGGAAACGGCCGAAAATTCATGCGCGCGCGGATGTCATCCATATAATCAAATCAATATGGCCTCACCTAGAACTACACAATGGCAATGATGCTGAGCCAGAGCTGTCCAGATTGACCCACGCCTGACCCTCAACTCTGAGTGTATGGCGCCATAGCTACAGGTTCGTATGTTAAACTGCAACAAGTTCCAGTGGACTGACAGCAATCACCATTTTTTTTAAGTTCAAACTTTATTAATATTCACAATGTTACATTAACCCTATCTAGACCGGGCTTTTTTGGCGACGCCTCAGGGGCGGAGGCATTTTTACAGTATATTACGATCAAGCTGAAAGAATTTAGAAAATTTTACGAATGCATTCCCTGGGGAATTGGTTTTGAGGTAGCCTCCGGCCTTATGTCTTCGTACCCGGCAGGAAAGGCCTATGTTACCATGCATGCAAAAAGCACCTTGTGGCTTTTTGCACACAGAATATTAATGATTGTCTTTATTGATATTTCAAATATGTTTTCTTCTATTAAGAAAGAACAAATTTTCTTCCTCATAAGAAAGAACAAGGAGCAACATTCAAGCTTATAATGCTTCAATTATGTTTTTAGTTTCAATTATATGATGCTGGTCGTTTTTTTATAACTTTACTGTGTGTAATAGTGATGTTTTGTGTAAGGAATTCTATTCACTTGTGTGTTTTCTATGTAACACACAATGTATGTATGTTTGTGTCAGTCTTGTTTTTTTTTATTTTTCTTTGCTTTCACGATGCTGTTGCATTCAATGCCTGTTTTTCAATTTTCTTGGCTGCAAAACATGAATGCACACCCCAAGCCTTCCACGACTAGGTTTCATGCTAGCCAGTGAATTCCTGTTGTAGTCTGCATGTCAGGGTGGACATGGCGAAGTTTACCTGTGGGTATAAAGAGAGAAAAGAGCATAAATGAATCTATGCCAACTTTGGCCAGCTTTGATTAACTTAAATTAACAAGATTTGGGGTCATAAATGTAAATATGCAAAGCATGTGAGTCGATTAATTTTACAGAATCCAATGAAGCAGACACATGTCTATAATAACACATTTTCTGCCAT